TCATTAATCTCTATACCATTCATAAAGAAATAATATTCAAATTGTGTATGTTCACATTTGAGGCTCACACAATTTTAATATGCGTAGAAATGACAACGAGAAAACTCCTGCCCTATGTATACGTTTATCACTAAAATTCTGTCTATAATAAATCTATTTCGATACAAAACATATTATGAAACATCTATTTTGGATGCATACGACTAACAAATAATAAAAAGTATCGTAGGCATTTTCTTTAACTAAAATCGACAGTAATATTGAACACATAACTAAAAAAGGAACATCGTCATTGTAGCGCATGTGGCATGTCGTTGCACAAACGAAGAAGTTTGTTCCGCGAATACAGAAATCGGTAGTAACATTGATTGCATGATTCTGTTGGGTTTCTTCTGAAAATGTAACTATGACAAACAACAAAGATCAACAACAAAAAAGTACATTAACAACGAACGCGCCAACGAAATAAAAACATACATTAATGCAGTTTTGTTATTGTTGCCATCGATGTTTTTTCTCCTTTCATTCATATCTGTACAGTGAGTGAAAATGTGAAAGTGGAATATGTAAACAAAGGACTGCTAAAAAAGGTAATATTGCATTTTTCTTTCTTTGCCTCTTTGCGACTGTCTCTCTGTGTTCTTCTATCGTGTTGACGAGTTTGAATCAATCGAAATATCTTAAAAATTAATTCAATGCTGTTCATTACATTATATTTATTTCGTCTCTTTCCACGGTTATTGTTATGACACTATCTACTTTGCTGAAATGTATATACTAAATATGATTAAGTTCATGTTCAAAAGATCGTTAAAATCGAATGAATATTCAAGAATCAGCTCTCTAGGGCGTTCAATTTATTTCTCATTTTGATACGAATGTTTTAAAATTTGTCATGGTGTAAATAGAGGTTTTTCGGAAGTTTTATTAGCTTGCAAAAATGTTTACATTATAAAAGGAAGACAATGATGATGGAGAAAATATTGGTAAGAAATGAAAGCAAGATATTACTAAAACTTGAATTTGGAATAAATCTCTAGATTTGCATAACAGACTGACTTCATATTTAAATCAGCTTATGTTACCATTCGGATACATCAGTAGAGCTAGACGAAGTCGATGATTATTCAAAAATTAACAAAATAAAGTCATGAACGACATAGTATTCAGTTGTTTTGTTTAAGATTCGAAAGCAACCGGATACCAACATGGGATTTTACGACAGAAAGTTTCATCATAACGGACAAAGAGTATTCATGCTCGAAATTTATCATTGCTTTTACGAAAAATCTCTAAACACTGAAAGATGTCATGAAATACCATTTAGGTATAGTTACAACGTTCTTTACTGACATCAGTGAAACTAAAACAAAGCATTGTTTTTAAATGAAATATGAACACTGTCTTCTGAAAAGAAGATCTTCATGAACTATTGAAGTCTTTGAAGCTCTACAAACAATTCTAGACAAAGAGGTGATTGAGAAGACTACATATGCCATAAAATCAATCCACAAAATAGATAACTATTGAATATTTGTAAGAGTCATACTTTCTCGACATTAGATACTGTTTTGCATCATGAGGCCATTGGCAAGAACATTTAATTTCTCTAAGTTAAATTTAAGTAGACAACAATTTGAAATTCAGTTACACCGGCTGAAATATTGGTCTGTGTCTAATGATATATCTGAAATTTGCGTGTGAGTGAAGAGAAGCTGCAAAGACAAACCTATGTCCTATAGTCATTATTGCCTTTTATTTTTTTTCTAGATATTGCTCCGACGTAAAATATGGTTAATTTTTTGTTGACATTCAACGATAAACTTCACCTCGTTTCAATTGAAAATAGGCTTATTAACAGTAAACAAAAGAGAAAAAAATCTAACAGCATCATTTATTCTATTGTTATTCTTTCCAACTTTCGTTTACTTTTCATCTGTACAATGACTTAAGTGCCATTACATTCGATACGTTGTTTCATACATTGTTTAGTTTTCTTTGATCCTTTCAAAACGAAGTTTTTTTCTTTCTGACAAGAACGAAAAAAAAATCAATACAGACATTGTTAATTGGATTATTTTCTTTCTACCTGTGATCGACATGATAATAATGTGAACAATATGACAAGAAAATTCGATTGGACTTTTTTTTTGAACTAACCATCGAACAACGTTGTTTACATGCTCAATATATTGCTGTTAGGTAACAAGTGATTCAAGCAAAGAAAGCTGCTCACATCGTGCTTCGTCATTGAAGACATGTATCACACGTTATAGTTGCTGAATCAGTTTTTCTCTCATCGTGATTGTGGGTGAAAAAATACCAAAAACGATTAGTCTGAGCATGCACACATATCATAATTGTTGTTTGTGAGGTATTGAGCTGTGATTTTCGTATTGTTTTGGAGATACTGAAAAAAATGGTTGATTGTGAAGATATAAATCAACAATAATTTCATCTAAACTTTACAATGTATGTTATTTTAAAATAAACTTCTGATGAAATACTATGCATCAATCAAAATCATCCATTATCTTGAAATCATAATCTTATAAAGATCAAAACTTCTTTTCGAGAAGCTTTCATACTGTAACCTTTGCAATTCGATCTGCAAGATAAATTTTTCGCAAGTTTAGTCGAAAGTCCTAGTTTCAATTCATTCATTGTTGTCAAACAGTTGATATCATTTTCGAAACAATTAGTCTGGTTCTGAATGGATGAGGAAGTATACGTACTGACATTTTTTATCTGCAATAATAGGTGTATATGAATAAATAGTAATTAAACCAAATTGAAAAGATACATATTAGATTCATATAAATCATGCACCCGCATCCATACCCTATTGAGGATTCATTCAATTTTAATGTACATCATTACATACGTGCATAACTAAAATTATATTAATAGTTAATGTATTTCAACGGAAAACGTATTAGGAAACATGTTTCTCTATAGAAACTGATGTTAAATCATTGATACTATCAACATCTATTCTATATAATACAGTGAAAACGTGGAATATTATGAGCGCAGAATATGATTAAAAAACTCATCTATCAACAAATTCTGTTTTTGCATGCATGCGAAAGAGAGCCATCTATATTTGCATACAGTTGACAAATAATGAAAAGTATTGCTGGTATTTTTTTAACTGAAATCAGTAGAGATATTTAAAACATGACTACTGTTTTTCTTAACTCAAAAGTAACAAAAACAAAACACCATCATTGTAGTGCATGGTCGCATGTCTTTGCACAAACACAGAACTTTGTTCCGCGAATAAAAAAATGGCCGTAAGGTTGATTGCATGATTCTGTCGGGTTTCTTCTGAAAATGCAACTACGAAAAACAAGAAAGATCAACAAAAAAAGTACATTATCAACGAACAAGCCAACAAAATAAACACACTGAAGAGCATTTTTATTATTGTTGCCATTGATTTTTTTTCTTCCTGAGTTTGTATCTGTACAGTTAGTGACAATGTGAAGATAGAATATGTAAATAAACGACTGCTAAAGAAAAGTAAGATTTCATTTTTCTTTCTTCACTTCTCCCTTTCGATGTGATTTCATCTCATCAAGAGCTTTTTATTACTGGGTATGGGTGTGAGTGCGGGTTTGGGGTGTGGGTGTAGGTGGATGTCGATCTTCTTTTCATCAACACCCACACCCAGCTAAATTTTTGCATTTAGGTTAAAAATAATAGCTTTGAAGAGTGCTTTTGAAATTTTTTCGTGTAATTAAAAACTCAGTGTATGAACCCATCATAAAAAGAATTAGTTAATAAAATTCAATAAAATAGTAAAGATATACTGAAAAACTCCTAGGATACCTTACAGAATAAGAGTCTGTCACAATGATTTTTCAGTAAAAACAAGTTATCTGTTGGATTTGACTTTTCCAGATTATATCGATATTTGAGATGATAATGCAAAATTAAGTAAAGTATTGAAGGCCAACCTAACAGATTCTACTCTATACCGCATTTCTAGATATGGGACCGGAGTCAGGCACAACATTTTTTTTCCATTGTGAGTGATATCTTTTATCGTCATGTAAAACTTGCATCACATGTCATGTTGTTGCGAATCATGTATTCTAAGTTTATACGATAATTATTGAGTAACGATCACATCAATATTTGCTGTTCTAATTTTCATAGTAAAATAATCCATTTTCTTTTCGTAAACAATAGAGTTGTCGAACTCAGAACTAAAAAACTTTTTCTATCCAAGATCAAGACAATTAACGATTGATCCAGCTCATCAGTACTTATTTCACTTGGAAATTTAATAAGTTTCATGAAAAAGAAAAATTTCTTTCTTCTAGTCATTTGAAACCAATCGAGAATGATTAAATAGTTTATCATTAATTTTTCTCATTTTATAAAAATATATATATATATAATGTTCGAATTATAGCAAATTAAAAAAACCAAAAACAGATAATATGCATACACATGAGAACTGACTATAATCATTCAGAATAAAACAAAACAAAGAACATATTTTTCTATATGTCAGAAGATCAAATATACTTATTATCTGATACATAAGAGAGATTTTTTTTTGTAAATAAAGATAATAGATGCAACAAAATAAAAGATCACTGTTTGTCAGTTGTTATTTTTCTTGTCGCTTTATATATAGATATTGTCTATGGAATAAAAATAAAAATAAAAATACAAATAAATGAAATAAGGAAAGAGAGAAAAGAAAAACAAATTACTTTAATGATGTTTTTATTTCTTTCATAAGATTAGAACTAAATAAATAAAAATGATTTAGTTTGGTTATATAAAAATCTCAAAATATACATACTATTGATTTAAATAAGAGAGCTATTGGTTGTTCAAGAATTGTTTCAGCATATAAAGATGCAGCCGAATTAATTTTTTCGACAACTAAATTAAAAACTTAAATATAAAAAAAACGATTTATTTAAATTCTTTTTCTAACCAGTTAATCGATAAAATTGACAAATTGTATTAGTCATCAATAGAAAGTCTTGATTAGATGATGAAATACGAAGTTGTGATTGACATATCAATGCACCCGAACTCATCAAATCAGCAAATGCAATACTTCAAAAATATATATATATATTAAATACTTTACTAAAAAAATCTATTCTTACGAATCAATAGTCTTTTGTCGTAAATATTGTGAACAAGGCAAATTAAGTTTAAATTCAATTCTATCTGTTTCAATTATATTTGATTTCTAAATATGTTTATCAAAAATAATAATAAAAAAATCTGTTTTTTTTATTTTCTATTTTTTTTCAACATACATTTATAGAATAAGTTGATGTTGTTTTTAATTTTTGAGAAAATGATATAGCATTTATTGAAAAATAAATATGAATATAATTTTGTAAATGAGGAAAAATACTTATAAATGGAAATGATATTAAATTTGTACTTGTTGTATTTAATAATTTCGAACTCATACTATCAATACAATGAATATTAATATGATCAATAATAAATGATGTTCAATTTTTTAAAAGAAATGTTACATCAAGTTGAGCTATTGATGGATCTGGATTAATTGAATATTCCTAAAAATAAATAATATATCAAACTTTATAACAAATTCAAATCGGACGGAACTATAGGATTATACTGAAAACTTAATACAATCGACATCATTCAAGAAGGTAGCATAGATTTTCTCAAATCTCAATAGAATCTATCTAATGAGAAAAAGTATTTTATCGCTTAGCGAAGTTTCCTCATCTATTGGTTAAACTAGAATAACTATTGAACTTACAATTGTCAGATTGAGCAACTAGTTTATAAGTATCTTGTTCTTTGTATTGTTGCTCAGATTGATTTGTTAGATGAATATCATCTGTCATAATGTCCAATAGAAGTGGTGCAGAAGTATTTGTATCTACTGTTGTTATTGTTTCTGATGATGATTTTTTTTTCTTTGGCTTTTTTGCAATAGCAGGAAGAGGAGGTGTTGAAGTCGGACAATTTTCTTCCTCATCAGCTGGTGATAATAATTCTTTATAATCACTACGTTCTCGTTTGTGTTTTGATTTCAATGTTGATGATTGTTCTTGTTTTCCAATTATTTTCTTTTTCTTAGATTTTTTTGGCTTTCCAGTTAATATGGGAGGTGTTTCAACTTGTTTAGGAACTGTTCTTTTAATTGAGATATCAATGGTGGTGGTGATGTAGGAATCGATTGAATAGGTTTTTCACTTAAGTCAATATTAAGTGCTCGATGTGGATTATATTTTTTATTTTTTCCAACAATTACATCATGATCATTGTCTTCATTTCCACTTTCTGCAGCACCTTCTGGTAATTCACCACCACGTGTTACTTTAGCAATTCGATAAATATCATCATCATTATCATCGATTACTGTTATATTAGATTTTTTCAATGATTTCTTTCCTTTTTTTGATGATTCACCATCAGTTTTTGATTTTTTTCTTTAAACATCGATTTTCTTCATAAATTTTTGCTTGACGATATAATTGATCAGATAGTATTAACTGTGACCTAGTAACATTTGTTCCTTGTGATAATGTTGATTCAATACGATCATTACCATTTATAGTATCCAAAGTTGTTTCAGTCTACAATATTAAAGACAAATTCAAGAATTGAACTAGACTATTTGTATTCTGTAGAATCAAATGAGTTAAGAATATCCTGAAGACAGTTCAAGGCCGTAGCTTATTGCTGTCGAGATACTAGAGTTTTACGGTAGCTCTTAAATGAATGTCGTAGTTCGAGCCCGTCCGATTGGTCCCAGGTTCGAAAACTTTGAACTCGATGAATTCTAGTCATGATGCCCTACAGAAATATGATAAAAACTAATTTTCGAATTTTGACTTGGAACTCTCCATAGAGACAGACCTTAACGTGACTAGTTTCTTGTGAATGTCTCAGATCTTACCATTGCTCCTATCTTAAGATAAAGGTATAGTAAAAACTTGTCTTTTATATCTAATAACAAATTCGACGTTCTTATATCAACATAGAAGCTAATCAAAAGATTTGAAACGTTCACAACAAATCACTAACGTTAAGCCCTGTCTTTACATCGAGTTTCAAGTTACAATTCGAAAATCAATTTTCCTGAAGAGAAACTAATGCATTCGTTTAAAAACTACCGTAAATTTGTAATATGTCTGTAGCTTATTTATGTCAATATGATGTGCATAGTTTCGACTCAAAAGCGATTAATTAGGTGGGGGGAACTTTCTTCGAGAGATCTCTAAATAAAAAATTCATACTCATACCGTTTGTGTCACTTTTGGTTTTTTCGAATCTTTCAAATAGAATGGATTCATTTGTTCACTTTGTTTTCTTGATTCTCGTTGTTTTTCTAATTCTTCAGCAGTTGGTTCAACATATTTTTTTGATTTTTGATAACTTAATGTAACACCGGAATATAAATTAGGATTATAATTTTCTCCATTATCACCATAAAATAAATCTTTATTATCATAATGTGAACTTGTTGTTATTAATTCATCTTCACTATCCGATGGAGGATCATTTATCCAAGCATTCAAATCCAAACTAGAATATAATCAAATCCAAAAAAAAAATTTATCAAACAAATTTTATTTTACCCATTTGGTACAACAACTTTTCTTTGAGCTTTAGCAGCAACTGGATTAAGAACACAATCAAATAATACTGATAATTCATTAACATTAAATTCAGATTTTTCAATTAATTTTAATGTTGTTTTAAGAATATATAAAATAACACTTGCCTAAATAAATAATTTCTTTCTTTTTTATATTTGATATTTCGAGCTATTGGCAAAAGACATCCGAAGATTTACATTATGATTATTTTTATAGCATTTTTCATGAACTTTTCAAGTTCAATTAGTTTCGATCAATATTTTCAAAAGAGCAACTTCTCAAAATTCTATGACGTATATCAGTTGTTTGATACATAAAAAAACCTACAGTATATTTGAGCAAATAGATTCTTTCTAAAAATAATTTTGTAAACTTTGGATAGCTGATGTTGATTAATTGTGATTTATCTAGCCTCTTTCACTCGAAAGATTTTTGACAAATAGTTACTATTTATGGATTGTGTTTAGAACTAAACAATCGATGTAAAACTTTGAAAAATGTATAAGTTTTAACTTGTATTATTTATTTGAAGCTTCGCCAATTCGAAAAATGAGTGATCATAGTAGAAGCCAATTAGGACAGGTCTATATCGGAGGTTATATTCGGGACGATGGATATTCACAAGGGTTTGGATCCGTATGCTAGTGCATCCAACCTAAGTTTAGTGATGACATACTCAATCCGATAGTAAATTCAAATTTAAATAAAAGTGTCGGAAAAAAATTACATATTCATCAGTCATTATTTTTTTGTTCTAATGGAGCACAAGGATCTTCAGTAAATCTAAACGGCCTGTAGTGTATAGAATAAATATATAACGCTGAATAACTATATAACATCTAATGAATATCATTAAAACTTCAATTTGAAACATACGTTTTATTTATATTATTTTATCTATTTGGTAATAGCTATTGCAAGACGGCTACTCATTTGCAATTAGAATTCAAAGTGTAATTAAATGCAGATTCATAGTAGATTTATTGCTAGCTACAACCTAGATTCAGATATCATAAATCGATTTTATCGCCAGGCTGTCCATTGTGTGAGTAGGCGCGTGAATATTAGGTGAAAAAATGAAAATCAAGTGATCAATGATTCAGATAGTGATTACTATATTTGGAAATACACTCTTTCCGATTGCGTAAAAATTGTTGCGTAACACAGAAAATCACCTGATCCAAAATTAGTCTAAAAATATTACTAAATTACGAAAAATTAATTTTTACTCAAGATGTAACCAACTAATTGGCAAAAGCAATACATATTTTAAAATTCGTGCATTCTCTAGTGAAAAAAAAAATTTATTTTGAGTCGTTACCTTTGAGAAATAAGATGAACATTTCTGCAATAAATTTTCCAAACCACTCTGTTATAGCAAAATGGATGCGCACCAATCTAAGTCTACTCACACTTTACCTACAAATCCTTCTATATGACCTATATCAGCACAAATAGAAATCAACATATGAAACTGCGTTGAATGATGTATAATAAAAAATTTTCTTGAAGGTGATCTTCTGAGCAACAGAAATTACATGTTCATCTCCCATCTGAAAAATGCAATTTTTTATCTTGATGTCCTTTAAAATAAAAAGAAACATGGCCTACTCGTTCTTGTGCTTCGACATCGCCACTTGATAAAAATAAAGACATTCTATCAACCGTTAATGAAAGAAGTTGTTGAATTAATGTTTCATCATTATTCGATGATTGAATTAAATATATAATAATTTTTAAAATATTTTGATAGTAAACAGATTGGATATGCCCAGGGAATAGAGTTATTTTTGTATTAAGGATTGATTCAAGAATTTTTTGTGGTTCTTTTAAATAACTATAGAGAAAAATAAAACAGGAATTCTTTCAATTAATTTTTTTTTCCGTTATTAACTTACGAACAAAACTCACCACAAATCCATGCAGCAGCATATAAAACTTCGTCAACAGTTGTAGAATTTGAACCATGAATAAAAACATGAGTATTTTCAAGGAGAATTGCCTAAAAATAGAAATAAAAAATTTTCTTGTGATTTTATTTTTGAAAAATTTCTACCATTTGATTACAAGCAAGTGAAGAAATAGATTCAACAGGAACAGCAATATCAAGCATTTGTAAAGATATGAGATTACCATGTTTTGTACTTTCAAGACGAGTTAATTCAACCAATATACTAATATATCTATTTTAATAAATAATGTTATTTTTCTATTAATAAAAATTAAAAAAATAAATGTAAGCCATTCAAAATTAGTTATATGTTGATAATCATTTTGACTACATATTTCAATTATTTTTGAAAGTAATTCATCTCGATAATGTGATTCTTCAGATTTATTCATATGAACCATTAATTTATGTACGATATCCATCAGAGTTTTCTTGTTACCTGAACAAAAAAAAAGAATTCATAATCACAATTAAATTTATTCAAATATTGAATGATCAGATTTTTTTTATTAATAGTTTTTCTCCATCGAATTATCATACCATTTCAAACAAAAGCTCAATTAATTAAAGAGATCAGTTATTCATGTTTCACTCTACTTGTTTAAAAGAATTTCGAGAATTGATCTAATCAGGCTAATGATTTCGGCAGGAAAATGGTAAGAACTTGGAAGAAGGAATCCGATCGCCGGATTCCTTCTTTCAAGTTCCTACCATTTTCTCGAGCTTTTTGGTCGGAAACAGTCCGTATTTTTAGACCTACGTTGAAATTACTAGATTTTTTTAAATGTTTCATCGATAAATAATTTTTTTGTGGTTCAAAAACAGATAAAAAATATAGTAAAATGATTACGAATGAAAATCATAGACTAATAAACATAAATCATATTAATCTTTGTTTTTAATGACACATCTAAATCATACAAAGAATTTACAAAAAAATTAAATCGACTAAAACTACAATAGTCATTGGAAATAAAGAAGAGTTTGTAACGATCATTGTTTCATATCAATTCATAACACTTTTTATATAGAAAAGCTGTCCTAAAGCACAATTTATATGTAACGAAATAAGAGCTGATGCTGACTAGAAAATTGTAAGAACTTGAAAGCAGAAATTCAGCGACTGGCTCTGCCCGATTATGGCCTGTTCTGATCGAAACTAGGAAAGTCCGACTATTGAATTCCTATTGTTTTTCCAAGTTTTCCGACCAAAAATCTATGGATTCAGGCGCTGACATCATTGATCTTGGAGATCGAGTAGATGAACATTATATAACCATCAGATAGAGATCTACCTTTCGTTGGCATGGTCTGTCTGTCACGACCTGTGTACTTTCTATCAACGTGACATTACTATGCAAAACATCTATTGACTTCATACAGTAGATCACTGTCTGGTAAAGACAAAAAATAAAATATTAACATAATAATAAGAATGTTTTCAATGTATTTAATGAACTAATTAAAGAAGACATCAAAATCTGTTTTCTAATATGAATGTAAATCAGAAACAATTTCTAGCTCCTGACGTATGAGAATATTTGCAATTTCGAAGATATTTTTCTAAGCAATTATAATAACAGTATGATGCTAAAATATCCATAGCTTCTCAAAAGAGATACTTTTTAAATAAGCACTTAGCTATTTAAGTACTTACATAGCTATTTAAGTTTTTCATAGCTGTTTATAAGTGCTTGCTTAGCTATTTAAGTCTTTCATAGCTATTTAAGTATTCGCATAGCTATTTAATGTCTTCATAGCTATTTAAGTACTTACATAGCTATTTAAGGTTTCCACAGCTATTTAACTAGTTGCATAGCTATTTAAGTATTTAGATAGCTATTGAAATCATTCATAGCTATGTATAGTAGCCTCAACAAGACTCATTTGACTGATGACTAATGATGCCAAAGTTCGATTTTGAGAACTTTCTGGTACATAATTAGTCATTGAAGTTTATGTAACACCAGTTGGCCGTCGGTGAACAATAGTTATATTTATAGAATCTTCTCAATATTGTATTCATCGAATACTATGCATAAGATATCCTACAACATAACACAAAACTGTAACAAAAAATAATTCCTGCTATATATATATAAGAATCAAATCCGCGAAATGTACTCATAATAAATAATGGGATCTTATTCTAATAGATATCATTGTAATAAAAATCATATTCAATATCTTTAACTAATGCAGTAGCTGCAGAATCTCTTTCTCAAAACCCTCGACATACACAGATGAGTACGATCAATTTCGACAAGCTATCAACCTTTCTAAAATACTGCTGTATATCTACGAGTACTGCAGCTGAAAAAAGTTGAAGAGCCACATGCAACTATCCTAATGTTTGTTTTTCCCCCCAATCCCCTGCTCGTACAGATAAGTAACATAGACAAAGTCCTTCATGCTCAGTTCAACGGCAATAACAACTTATTTAGTACTACTGCTAATCATTAAATACTACTTCGATTTCAACAACTAACCATGCGGATATTTAAAAAACTCGAATCTTAAATAGACACAACAGAACCGTTTGAATAGCTATACCACAATTCAAGTAGCCATGTCGACAGTTAAATAGTTCTGAAAAAATTGAATACTTATGCATGTACTTAAATACCGATGTAAATACTTAAACACCTATGGAAAACTTAAATAGCGATTCAGATACTTAAATAGCTATGGAAATACTTAGATAGCTATGGAAATGCGTAAATAGCCATGGAAAACTTGAAGAGCTATGAAAAGCTTAAATAGCTATGAAAATACTTAAATAGCTATGAAAGAGTTAAATAGCTACATAAATACTTAAATAGTTATGGAAATACTTAAATAGCTATGAGAAACTTAAATAGCTATGCAAATAGTTAAATAGCTATGCAAATACTTAAATAGCTGTAGCTGCATTAGAAAGCTGGAAAGTTTTCACAGTCACTTGTGTTAGACAAAAATTGTAGTATTAGATTAAATTGCAATTGTTGATAGATGATGAATAACACTTCTTTGATGACAGAAGCACAAAAGAGTGGAGTAAGTGGTGTTTGTTCAGCTGGTTTGAGAATAACTACATTGACTATTTGTTATTACAATATATAAGAAAGTATAAATTAATAGAAGTAATGAAGTTACCACAAGCTAATGCTGATCCAAGTTTCAAGGTCAACATAACAGTCTAAAATATAATGGCAACAATACTTTTGTATGATGCATATGTAAGAAAGAATATCGTACTGAGTAATCATTAAAAGAAGAAAGTACAATTTGAATATTCATTTATTGAATGTTTGAACTGACCATAAAATGATTTGTTCATAGATCCCAACTGATTTATGTCTAATATAGGTAATAAAAATACTTGATTCTGATGGAAATGTTTCACCAGTAATTTTATCAGTCTATTCAGCATCTGTAACATATGAATATCATTGATAACAAAAAAGAGAATATCAGAGAGGCTTACGATAATCAAGAGAAACAGCTACTCCAAGAGTCTCGCAATAACTCTCTTGTAGCAGTTTTTCACTACTCAGTGTTTCTAATTTCTGAATATTCATTTATGATGTAGATGCAAACAAACAGAGTGAACATTTTTACTGCTAAATAACCCACAACATGTAGAAGTAAATCAGCAAGTTTACAAATTAACTGAGCACGTGCAGCAGGATCAGACTTACGCCATGGTGAATCATATTGGAAACCTTTTTCAGCAGCTTCAATTGCTTTATCAGGATCACTCTACAATATTGGAAACAATAAAAATTACACGTAGAACGAAAATAATCATGTATATATATATTGATACTTTTGTACCTTCTTCTACTTGACAAATTTTTTCATCTGTACTTGGATTAATGATAGAGAACGGATTCATTTTTGTCTACATGATTGACCTTGATTTATCACATAAGAAGAAAAGAAAGAATGGACATATATTAGCTCGTTCCTTTATCCACTTATACTCATTGCTGTTTCAGTTGCAGATGATGTCTTCAATCTTAATGAATGATTCAACTTATGAAACCGATTTGGTTAAGAGAAAACAAAAATTTGATAAGGTGGCACACCTGAGTATTGTAACAAGTCTTCATATCAATGTGGTATTTTTAAAAACTTGTCTTATCGATTGGACTTTGCGACAAGCGAAGAACAATTTTTTTAATAATGTATGTATTTGATATTGCACTTCACTATAGAACTATTTTACTAACAGGTGCAAATCAGATCGTTCTTAGTATATGCAAAATCATATTCTTTTGATGTGACTCTATTACTAAAGATCTTATCAGTTCGTTTAATGTGAAACACTCAATATATGAAGGAAGACTTCCAGAACGAAATTGCCACGATGGAAAGAAGGAATTTTTAGAATAGCGAAGATTTCAAGCGAATAGAACTAATTTTCATAATTGTACGCTGGATTTCGAAAGCGTTGTAAATAACAGACTAAAACATTCTCTTCACCGTTATCATATATCTACTTATGTGATTTCAGTTAACAAATTAACATTTTCTACAAGAATATTATTGTTACTGTTCAAAACTGATGTCACTTAGATGATAGAGAACAGGAACAATCAAAAAATTTATTATATATAAAAACTTCTTTAGATTCACTATATATATATAATCAATAAGTAATGTTTTACGATAGTAGAAAAGAATCGATCATACTTTTCCTACTTCAATAATCAATTTGTTTCTTTGTATTGTATTTTGTTTAAAGTCTTTTAAACAATAAAATTTTAAATGTTATTAATTATGTATCTTAAATTGAAACTAGATTATGATCATTCATACGAGTTATTACCGTAATTGGGAGTTGTTTCAACTGATTGTTCGTGGTATTCTATTCTTTGCACTTAAATATTTTATTTAAATTAGTTGTACGTATTAGTGAGACTTTCGCAATACATGGAAGAGTTTAGAGAGCAAACTACATAAATGTTAGAAAGTTAAACAAGTAAATCCAAATAGCTGTTCTTCATGAAAAATTTGTATTGTTTTTCCTCAAACAAGTTTAACAACAATTATTTTTACTTGATAGTATGCTTCGAGACCATATCGACATAATTCCTTTTCCTGACCTGATTGTTTAAAGCCACCAAATAGTGCTTGATTACATATAGTCTTATAAGTATTTATCCAAATAGAGCCAGGTGTATTTGATGAGCCAACGTAAGACCACGTCTTACTGAAAAACTAGAATAATCATCAATAATCATTTCTTTCAAATTTACTGTCTCTAGTTATCACTCCAGTACCAAGTCCAAAAGTCGTGTCGTTTGCTCGTTTGATAACTTCTTCATATGAATCATAGTTTAAGACTGACATTACTGGACCAAATATCCAAACTTTTACATTATTATAGAATCTAATAAAAAAAAACAATGTTATACCTCTTCACGAGTGATTTGCATATCATCTTTTACATCACTAAAAATAGTTGCTTTTTTGATAAATAATCTTTATTATCAACTCGTTCACTACCACATTCTAATTTATCTCCAAACTTTTAACCTGATTTTATAAAATCTAAAATCTATTGAAATTGACTATCATTTATCTATCATACATAAGTAAAGGGAACTTTTCTTTAGATTAAAGACGTTATTACTTGTGATCCTTGTTCAGTATTAGAATCAATTTGATTATTTGAAAGTCTTATAGAATACTCATCCTCATCCTCGGATGATCAAAGGAGATTTTTCACCGATATGTGAAAAGAAACTAGCTCAGATGAAAATTATTTGGTATTTGTTACTGACCAAGTTCAAATGTAACACATTTAAGATTTGATTTAGTTGCTGCTTCTTGTATTTTCTTTCCAACCTTCAATCAAACATTTCATATTCATCTTTTTTAGTTTTATTAGTGAATGTTTTTACTTCAACTGAACTAGTACAAGCTGCTTTATCAATATGTGCATGAACAGCAATTGCATAACCACATTCAGGCCCATCACCTAAATATTCTTATGAAATTATTATGATAAATGTCATTCACTTTACCTGGTATGATGTTGACAACATCTGGTGGAAAACCAGACTAGATCATCATGACAACAACAAAGTATAATCGACATGATAATATCTTACCTCTTTGATAAGAGCAGCACAATAAAGTGCACTAAGTGGTGTTTGTTCAATTGGTTACAGTACAATCAGCTGAGAAAAATATTTCACCTTTAGTATGTTTAAGTGTTTCCACTTTCTACATATTGACTTAGGTTGAGAGAAAGAAAGAGGATCTAATTTATGCCATGGTGATTCAATATCAAAAGCTGTTTGAGTAGCTTCAACTGCTTTATCAACATCAGCCTGAAAATCACAATAGATAATGAACCAATGGAGAACATATAGAGATTCATACTCTAATGCCTTCTTCTACTTGACAGATTTCTTCTCCTGTACTTGGATTGATGAGAGAAAATGTTTTTCCATTTGTTGCTTTATGCCATTCATTGTTGATAAAGATTTGAGTATATTTAACTTCAGCGTTCAAAACTATTCAATTAGCCGATGACATCTGAAAAATAAGAGAAAAGACTTGAACAAAAAAAAGGTGTTTTGGTCGACAACAGGTATGATAATGATAGTGTCATTGTCATTTATCTAAGCAAACATACACTTATATATCCAGCTTGCTCTCTTTCATACGTGCACAAACATATACCCACTTTTTGTTTGTTGTCTTATTTTCTTAGTACGAAAGAGAACAGACGCTAGATAAAAGAAAAAGTAGATTTTCTTCTTGCCAATATAAAAATGTAGGTTGCATCAATGCCAGAACACAAACAAAATATAACGTACAAAATCATGTTTTTGTCAACAAAGAAAACCAGCAGTACATAAACAGTCATGATTTTGAATAGAGAAAAAAATATTTTAGAGAAACGCTGGAACTTCTCTGGTACCAAGTGGTTATTTCGACACATGATGATTTTTCCAATCGATCAGGACAAGATCCCATAGAGTTGATTAACATCAGTTTCCTCTCCGTTTCTTCCAGTGATTATCTGATCATTAGACCATTTGGTTACAAGATGTTTCTCAATATGAGAAACATACAACGATTCTTTATTTTCTATTGTCAGTTCGAAACATCAGATAGTTGTCGAGAAAATTCTAATCAGTCTTTTATTTTTCGAAGTTGATTTCATGACTTTTCAAGGTTTATCTGATCAAGCACAAATAAAAATATTCATTGATATTTCTATTCAAATTTACTAGATAAAGATCCAATCTCTAATGACGAGTAATTTCCTATCTGAACTAAAGATAATCTTTTCCTTTTAGTTGATTTAATTTACGGTCTATCGACATATGAAGAGTTCTTCTTAGAAAAGTAAAAGTCTAGACCATCTGAATAAGATATTCAATGAACATAGGTTATAAATTGAAGAGTCAAATAGTTTCTCCATTCTTCTTAAAAAAAAGACTTTATTTCAGTTATTTCTTCAATGAATAAAAAAAAAACAATCGGTTCTGTTTATTGTTTTGATATTAATCAAATCAAATGAAATAACATTTGCTGGAAAAAAAACTAATAAATAACGAAACAATTCAATCATCCAAGCAAAGTGAGAGAAAAAAAAGATGTTGATATATGAGTGTTAAAAATGAGATTGCTAGAAGAAACGAATGTTTATTATGAATTCAATTCTATTATTCCAATGGAAAATATATCGAACTAACTAACAATTTGATTTATCATTTGTTTTTGGTTGAAAATTTTCCTTACTTTTATGTTTTCAGGAGAAGAAAGCAAAGAAATAGGGACATTCAAAGAGTTATTATTTTACCGTGCATCTTAGTTGATATTGCAACGCCATTATTTGATATCACTAATGGTATATTTATTATTTAATTTTCTACATCAATTTCGAAAGACTTCTAGCAAATGCTCCGTATTAGCCAATAAGAATTGTCTCAATGGTTATCGGTGTTACATTGTCAAGGTCGTTCATTGTAGACACATTTTCTTATTAGTCGGCATGATGACGTACAAACTTTTCTGCTGTTATTTTTCCCACGATGGCTAACTGTCCAACGGTACAAAATAAGACAAATTCCTGATGGGAATTGACTTTTGCTATCGAGTAAAATGAAAATGTTATTTTCTGTTTAAAATGTAAAACATTAGACGAACAAAAAAATCATTATTGACTCAGACAAACTTATTGGGAAAGAGAAAATTTGTTAGTGATTGTTTTTTTTGATAATTGATGAGCTTTTTCCTGAAACATGTTTCAATCAAGCGAAATGAAGATAAGCTACTTCCTTCGAAATTTCTTACTTAAATCTTGTGATGGACTGTAACAAAAATAAGTATTCACTTTGGATATTTGAAATGATTCGATCATATTTCACATTTTAATCTCGCACGAATTATGCTCAAAGATTTTTTTGTCCAATTCGTGCCATTTTCACATAGAATGGCAATTCAATTTTATTTATCTTTTCAGTTTTTAGTTGTAAAAGTAAAAAGTTTACAAAAATGCTTATTTTCATCTCTTCTTCTGTCGAAAAAGGTTAATTGTGCAGCAGAATATTACGATAGTTGAGTATTAGAAAATGGCTCATGTGATTCTCACATAGTGCTAATATATGGTTAAATACACTTTTATCTCCTGTTCTCAAGTGTGAAACTCTTTGGTTTCTATCAAAACTGATTCGAAAAATATTCATTCTTCTTCTAAGTTAAAATGAAAAATAATTTTGCTCTCCAAAAGCTAATTTTTTGGAGAAAGAACGATTGAAATCAATACATCTTATGTAGAAAAAATTTTGATTTTTGTATAGATATTGATATAAGTTTGAATTTTTTTCAAGACTTATTTGACATGATAAAATTTACAGGTAGTCAAAGCATTGGAACTGATGTATATTTTTTATATACAAAATGTGCAAGACTAAAAACATTTTGACGTATCGAATATTTCAACATATAAACAAAAATGTTTCATCAATATGATCTATCGCAAACAAAATGTTAGTGACGAATACCATTTACACGAATCTCGATTGTCAGATAATTAAAATCAAAATATTCAATAACAAGCAAAGAATATAAAAGCAAAAACAATGAGAAAATATATATTAATGATATATTTGAGAAGGAATTAGAGTCCCACTGAAGCAGAATAAATATAAGATAAAAGCAAATTTCCAACGTACAAAAATTTCTTCGAAGACAATCTTTATATGATTGTATTTTTCTTTTTCTTTTTATTGATAAGAAGATTATTACTATAAAATTTAAAACGCTATTCAGAAACTCAAGTGGCCTGAACTGGCTTTTCGCTCAATGAATTTAAAAATTATCATCTTGATAAAGGCCGATTAGTTTTTCGTACTCAATTATAACTTATTATTCTCACAGATATCATTGAACTGTTGCATAAAACATGAAACCATCTCCTTTCACTCTCACATATGATGAAATATCTTTAGATCAAAAACTTTGAGATGAGAAACGCGTCAGTGACGATGAACGATAATAGAATTGAAATTGTGTAATTGATAGATAGTTCAATTGATCAATTAATAAAACTACATAATCGATTTAGGTCCAATCGATAGTGGATTTCACTTTCAGATTTTTCAAAATTGTTTCGTACGTGTAAAGTTCGTATCGCTTCGAAGACGATATCATGTGAAAAGCCAGCTAATGTAGAGAGATCTTGACACGAAAGTGAACGTAAATGAGGCATATGTTCAATGAGAACGAGAAATGAAGTCGATATATGATTGGTGTCGGTTTCTTTGATATTGAATACAAGTGATGTGACTTTGATAAAACGTTAAATAATTGAATTAAATAATGACAAATCAATTTGATGGATATATTTATCAAAACAGAAATTGGACGATATGTATATTGATGGCCAATAAATATTCGGACATACGAAAATATTTGATGTAAAACGAGGTACCATAAAGATATTTCGCGAATATGGACCATCATAGGCAACAAATCACCGTTTTTGTTCAAGTCAAAATAGTGAACAAAATGAATCAAGAATATTTTCTTCGGGAAAATTTGGTAATGAACATGGAAGATGCAATTGAAAGTTAAATATAGTCAAATGTGAAACAAGTAATTCCCATTTTTGGCCATCAAAAAGATCCAGATAACCTTGTGCAATAAGTTCGAAATAATATAGATTAGATATTTTAGATAAAAATTGTTCTACATGGATCATGGTCTTTTTTTTTGCCTTAATTTTAAAAAACAAAGAATATATATTTTACAATTTTCAAATAACTATACGCACCATGAATGATTAGGATGAGCCATATTAGATGGGGCAATAATGATATGTTATTCATCCACTTTAGATAATTATCATATGAAAGTTTGACATCAAGTGAATGAAGATTAGGAATTTGATTTAATATAAATGATAAGCCCCAGCAAAAGAAACTTTGAAGAGTTAAATGACGTAGACGCGGCAATGAAACCAAAACGAGATTATGAGCATGGGGTGCTGCTAGTCGATTCAGTCAAGGAATTAGGTAATATATAGCAGTGTATGTCTGTGTTTATTATCACTAATCGTAGTCATATCGAATGATTGAAGATGAATGAATTGTTCGAGTTTAAAATGAGAAAAGAACAGGTTTGATTGATTTGATGTATCATTGTCATGAGACAATATAACAGAAATGACTTGATGTGGCCATATATTTTGGCAAAGAAGATCAAATTTCGATTTAAGAACAGAATGAAAGTTGAGTAAATAGTGACAATAGCCAGCTAATATAGAATCCAGGTAATCATTTAGGCTAGAAAATGAATAGTAGATATCATGTACTCAAAAATAACCAAAGATATCGTATGAGATAACTGATTTCTTATTGCTCGTTTATGATGTAATAGTATAACACACTGCTTTTTTTTCTAGTTTCACTCTTTAGTCGATACTATTTGCAAACGTTGTTCTTTCGGATATGAAACACATGTCGAGATGCAAATGAGATTGACAAATCAAAAGTTTCGAATAAAATGAGCAAACATATCTTTCAATAGTCATGTATCTCTTCTGCATCTTTAGTTTTTACGTACTTTAATCATTGTCATTTTTTTTCTTTATTTACAACATTTAGTACGAGTCACTGCTTTTCATTTTTAAGCCGCTTGTTTTTCGTTTTAATTCAACTTTATAACACTAGAGAAGTTTTTTTCCATGAAATTGAAATATAGAAAAATTCAGATTATAAAATCAACTTTTTTCTCTAGGGAAAATAAATAAGCAAAGAAGAAAGACCTACTTCGAACGTTATCTTATTTGAGTCACCCTGCAATTGAACGATGAATAGGAAAATGATTAACGTTATTTTTTTTTTATATACAAGATATCTCGTACGTCATCGGGCAAGAAAAAATTTGAATATCTCTTCGTATTTCGGCGAAATAGACTACTTATTTCACTAAAGATGAACCATGGTTCATAGCTCATATTCATAGTAAAAACGTTAGCAAATAGGTTTTTGAAGTATCATTTCAACCTTCTGACTTTCATAAGCTATAAAAATACAATATGTTTATCCCCATTGGACAAAAATGAAAAACATAGCTATTTTTTCAATGACTTTTTCATACTATTATGAGGTGCATATGATGTGGAAAAATATCTTTATATGATTATTTTCTCATTACTATGTTGTTTTTGAGTGTTATCTATTCGTATGCAAAGGTCTTCTGAACACTAACTATGATATTATACATACATTGCTTCACTAATGTTTTTCGATTTATACAAACGATGATTCACCTACTCTCATGTATTATCCGATCCAAAATAAAAGGCAGTTTGCCATTTTTCAAATAACTTTTAATAGGAACAAGATAGAGAGCTGCAATTTTCCCCATTTGAAAGAGCAATACTTGAACCATCGATCTGTATAAAATTCAATAGGACGAAAGATGTTTGTTCATAAAGAATTATCGATTAAGTTTTTTTCTAGGTGTAATTTTTATAATCTGAACTCAAATGATGCCAAAATGTAGCTTAAGGACACGTTTTTCACTATAAAATATGTAAATGCTCTTGAGAATCCACTTCGTAAAAGAGATCGCGGATTAATCGAAAATGTGATGATTTTATAGTGAACAAAGTGTGATAGGCAATCTTGTTCGAAAAGCATCTTTCGTTCTCATAAGTTTTATACAGATCGATGGTCCATATGCAGTGATCGTTTGGAAAATAAAAAAGAAGTTCATTTTCGATCAGATAGATGGATTCATTCGTTAAGAAGAAACCAATTTAATTGAATCATAACACAGCTGAACGATTAGTTAGGAAAGAAGATAGAATATGGAGTTGGCAAGTCACAAATGGCGCCGACGAATGACTCGCCGTTTGTTTCTAAGATTGATATGAGCCTTTCTTTCGCGAAGCTTTCTAGAGATTGGTCAATAGTTTTCAGAAGAGCTCGATCAAGTAGATAGAATCTAGGATCGATGAGTCACAACTGGCGCTCTCGAGAGACGCTGATGAGCGACTCGCCATTTATTTACTAGGTAGACACGTGTTTTCTTGCTAAAGCTTTGAATGAAATATAGAGTATTTTTCGAAAGAGCTGAGGCAATTGTTGTGGTGAAGACGACTAATTCAAAATCGTACCAATTTCTTATAAAACGCCAAAGAAATGTAATCTATGATGAGAATATCGCGCGAATACTACATATTCCGAACTCGACATTATCAG